AGCAAGAATACACTGAATCATTCGACGGTGCCTCAATCTCAAACACGTTGGATTCAGCAACTAAATATACAAATCATCTATGTCATTCTACTTTATTCAAGCCCATCAAGGATGCAATTGTCCATAAAGTCAAATTAATCTACAATAAATGTATTTTCAATATGGATCTAATTTTCTCATGTTACTTAGCTAAAAAAAATGAAAAATATGTTCTTTAGAAAAACAAGTTCCTTAAAAATGAGGAAAACGAATTGTCTAATATAAGTAGGTAAAACAAGTTCTAGAATTAGCATTCCACATTGATTTTGCCCTCCTACACACCTTATCATCATCCCACCTATGTACCGCTATCGCCACCCCATCACCCCATTCTTATGTTGCTTCAATTATATACAAATACTTTTAAAATAATATTTCTTTACTTGCATACCCAACACACCCCTAGTAACAAACACAAAGGGAACAATCAAATTAAAGCAGCAAATACAAGCAGGAGCAATCATAATATACCTTCCTAGGTGCTGTAAGAGTTCCATCAACATCAAACAGAGCAATTAAACCAGCTTTCCTTGCAGCCATTTTTTATCTTTCTATACTTCTCACCAACTCTTCACTGCATTTAACAGTTAAACATTCAACCTTATCAAGCTACACTTGATAAAACCAAAATAAAATTCAATACAAAAGTTCACAAAGATGAAATGAAACAAATCAAATTATAGAATCGCAATATATAGTTGTACTAATTTGTACAACATAATGGGCAGTGGCACTTTACGTACTGACTAGAAAGAAGTATTCAACAAGACGAAAAAATGAAGTAAAATCAGTTATAGAAAATGCAGAATTTACACCGATTGAAGAAGAAGAGACGTGCAAGTGAGCAATTTTCCACCGCTTTATTGTGCATTCATTGGCTTACCTCAGCAAAATTTGGCTCAGAGAATCAGACGCAGATCTGAGATCAAATTGCTTTTGAATAATTTATAGTGTGGATATCGGGATACCGGGTTGTGGTGCTTTTGCTCAAAGAGTGCCACGAAGTTATTTTTTTTTTAGGATCTATATGTCCCAATATCTGTTATGGTGCCACGAAGTGGTTTCTTTCAACTAGTACCCAATTATATTGTGCCAACTCATTCATTTTTGTCATAATGATGCTAAAATCTTATAAATGTTGGAGTAATAAGTGCTCCTTATTCTTAATCAGATGTTCAGATTCAAGAATTTGTTTGGAAAATCATTTTGGTAATTGGATTTGGCATAATTGGGTGTAATTACATTGTCTGATCTGTTTGGTTAATCATGTAATTACTTGGTTTGAGTGTAATTGACAAGGGTAATTACACACTCTAATTCTCAGATGTGTGAATTGCAGGTAATTACTAACCTAGTAATTACACTAATTTTAATTACCAAGTGACTTTCCAAACAGACCCTAAATCTTTTTGGGTACGAAATTGCCTTTGTTAGGGTGTACTTTACTCATAATGTGGGGTTTTTTGATGTGAATTTAGATTTAGTCAGGCTTCCATATGGAATCGGACACTGGATTGGAGATCAAAAAAATTAAAAAATTATCACTTATTCTTGGTTAATTAATACGGTTCACTTTACTTGTCCGTTATTTTAAAACTAGATAGGCAGTACTCGTACTAATCACGGGCCCAACACTATTATTCTAAAGTATTTTTTGGGCTAATTTCAAATATATATACAATAGATAATATAATTAGTTTACAATAAATATAATCATGTTTTATTTATATAAAAAGTAGCCAAAAATCATAAAAGATTATAATAATCAAACAATATAACTTGTCTAATGTCATCAAAAGTATACACTAATTATACAATATAGCTGACTTATACATGAGCTATACATTGACAACACATTATGATACACTTAAAAAAACTTAAAAATAACTTAATTGTACATGAAATATGCACTGATTATTCAATTTTGATTAACTCAAAAGCACCTCTAAACAATCTCAAATTTTAGATATGGAATCTAAAATAAATCCTTAGAAGGAATGTGTGTCTATCTATAACGGGCAAGCTCATACCTATGGTAGTAATTTACACAAGGTGAAAAGGTTAATGTTCTATTTCTTCCAATTACCATCATTTGGGAGACTACTACTAGGATAATCAATAATTAGAAGTCATTTCATGTTTATTTAAAACATGAATAGAAATTTCTAGAGAGATATTTTTACACTTGTGTTTGATATGGAGAGAAATTAGGGAACAAGTACAATAAAATTAAATATGGTGTAAATAAACATATCATATTTTTAAAGATAGTAAAAGGAAAATGTATTAGGAAACTAGGCTTTTAGTTTGTTTTTTATTTTTTCCGTTTTTGTCTAGTAGCTGGACCTGGGCAATAGGTCCAAGTGAGTTGTATGTTCTTTTCAATTAATAATAAGACTGAAAATTTTACCACAAAAAAAAAAAAAAAAAATAATTCCAGATCTGTGTACAATAGTGATAACCAGGCAATTTATCGTTTCATCGAACAAACTACAAAGTAATCAAAAAAATTTATTAAAAAATAAAATAAAATAAAAATCTAGATACAAAGAAAGTTGGATAATTCTTATGGATTTTCATTAACAATAGAGTGCGAATTGAGGTTGATTTTTTTAAATCTTCTTTTCCTTTTTAAAAAAATGGAGTAAAAGAGAAAACCATGGAATGTAGATGTGTTGTAAGTTTTGAAGGAAATTTGAAAGAAAAACATACCTTTGATTGGCTGAACGGAAAGAGTGGATTTTTAACAAAAAGATTGTTGTGAAAGAGAGGAAATTGAAGAGAGATTAATGGAAGGCTCCTGCCTCCTCTGCAACAGAGAAAGTGGAAGATTTGGAGGTTATATAAGATGAAATTACTATTTTACCCTTACATAGTAATGATTTTTTCTGAAGTGCCATTGGTGGGTCTAGACTTGGCGTTTCGATTTTCTAATTTGTGGATATGAGCCAGCCATGTAATTAAAAAATAAAAAGTAACTTTCACATATAGCAAACATAAAAATCATATTTGTATGTTATAGTTATAGTTTGTATAATTGCGCTTCAAAACAAATTTTATGTTTGCTATGAAGCTTTTGATTTGTATAATTCGATACAAACATCTAATTTTATACAAATTGTTAAGTTTTGTATAAATTCATTTATACATTGTAATTTATATAATAAGATCTGTATTTGTATAATTATAAGTGTATAAGATGAAAATATATGTATTTGAATTTGTATATATATTTTTCTCTCACTTTATACAAACACAAACACATTTTATACATTTTATATCGAAATGTATAAAATGACTAATTGTATACCGAAAATGGTTATTTGTATATCGAATCAGATGACAAAAAAAGGGGATGTTGGCTGTGAATTACAATTAAAATAAATTATGACTATAACATTTAATTTGAATTAATAGTTTGCTATTTTATATAATTTTCCCTTAAAAAAAGGGAAAAGGGTCATATTTACCCCTAAACTCTTAGAAAAAGGTTATATTTGCCCTTCGTCATACTTTTTCAATATATTTACCCCTCCCATCTAACTTTAGATACATATTTGCCCTTGAACCGTTAAGTCTCGTGTCTTCACTTTTAATGTCATATGTGACGCTTATGTGGCACGCCTACATGGATATATATATATTCTTTTCTATTAAAAAATTCTCCTAATTTAATTATCATACCCATTCAATTTAACCCATAAACTCAATTCCTAATACTTATTTAGTTGTGCCTGTTGTGAATTCGATATCCATAAGCAATGTGTCCTGCCCAAATTGTTGTCCTTCCCCATCACCATCATCATGAACTTGAGGAAGAGGAAAACAGAGGGGTAACATATCAAGTAATAAATTAAAGCATTTTTTACACTCTCATGCGTTGGAACTCTTGAAGTACAAGAAACAAATGAAATAATCTGTTCAGATTAGATCTGCTTGTAAATGCACAAAATCCAATTGTGAATTCACCCTTCACAAATCATGCTTTGATTTACCAAGAAAAATACAACGCAATTCTCATCCTAATCAACCTCTCACTTTGTACCCTACTTTACCCGAACGAGACTCGATCACTAGATGAAGAAGCAATCTTAACTCTCGATAATGATTTTTTCGTGGATCAAGAATCCCCACCTCTCTGTCTCTCTACCTCTCTCAGTTAAAGAACATAATGAATTAAGTTTTAGGAGTTGGGTTAAATGGGTGGCAGGGTGGGTATAAAATTAGGTTGGGTATACTAATTAAATTAGGAGAAAAGTTTTAATGAAAAAATATATATATCCATGTAGCCGTGCCACATAAGTGTCACATCTGCTATTAAAAGTGAGGACATGAAACTTAACGGTTCAAGGGCAAATATGTATTTAAAATTGGATGGGAGGGGCAAATATATCAAAAAAAGTATAACGAATATAACCATTTTCTAAGAGTGGAGGGGCAAATATTTTGAATGAAAGAAAGGCTAACTCGTGGTTTTCTTGAACCATTTGCCCTTTAAAATGAACATATTTACAATATTGCCAGTGGTCGTACTCCACTTCGCTTTTCTATATAGTAGAAAATATATATATAAATTAAGAGGAACCTGGAACACCCAATGAATAAATGATCTGATTGGCCAATTGGTTCTAGCGTGAGTGTTTAAGACTTTTTTAGTGTTGTTCAACTCGAATTTAATAAGTGGAACAAGAGTAACACGAAAACTTCAAATATCATTGCTAGCTAGTATAAAAAATTGTTACACTAACAATATTGTACTAGTATATAATTAGATCTTGTCTATTAATTAGAGCTAATACAAAATGAGGTTAAACTGAGTTGAAATGAGGCTTCAAGCTCTGTTTTAAGAGGCAGATTTCAAATATATATATAACATTGCTTCTCTGAGTTTGAAGAATTGTTAGCACACATATCATTTAGTGTAAGATGGACAAATTAAAGTAATCAATACGAAAGATTAATTAATTAAAAAGATAATGGATAGTAAATTACTTCTCACTGTCACAATAGATACATACATTTTGGGAAATGAGTAAATACATAAGTCTTCAAGCTAAGCTTCACCATTTCCAGAACACATTTGAACCACACTTGTATTTGTCCTTGCCTTCGCACTCCAACGCCAAATCGTCACTTATAAATGGCACTTTCTGAATTTCATTTGTAAAAACACAAATATTAGCATATCAATTCATTTGTTCAAAAAAAAAAAAAAATTAATGAAAAAGGTTGAGATTACCTTTTGTTTGGCAAGGTCTTGGCATCCTGTGAAGTTCTCAGGGAACTTGCAAGTTCCAAACTGAACAGTATATGCCCTTGCGAAATTCGCACCACTTGTAGCCAACCTCTTCTTGTCATTCAATTCCTGTAGATTGACTGAATCACGTTAAATGTTTGTGTCTTTTTGTATATTTCTCGATAATAAATAAGTATACATATATACCTTGTTGGCTAGGCTTTTCTCAAGATATTCGTCAATAACACCAGCATTAGCAGAGGAAGCAGTGGTGAAAAGGGCAGCAGCAAGGCCAAGGAGAGCAACTCTTCTTCCAGCTGCTATTTGATCCTTGTCCATGTTGGAGCTGGATTGTTGTTGAGACTTAATGATGAATGGCAATTTCTGAAGTGATGGGGAAGCCATAGTAACAGCATATTTTGATGTGAGTTCAGAAGAGCCCATGCCTGATACAGCATAGCTGCAAGCCAATACACTTGAGTTCATTGCTGCCATTTTTTTTTTCCTACTATAATCTTGGATTTCAATCAACAACTTTTTTTAATTAGATAAAACTTTTTTAAGTATTTTTTTTGGTGATGGATTTTGTTATATTGTTATAAGGATAGTGAGTGTAATTTTAAGTTGTGGTAGGAGTTTGGATAAGGTGAGATTGCCTCACTCCTTATTGGCTAATTTTGGTTTCATGTTTTAGCATACATCCATATGTGTGGTGAACATGAGCCATTTAAGAGTGGACCCAATATCCAAATATGTGCTTGCTTGGGATTAATATTCTTCTGGCTGCTGAATCAATAGGTAAATAATTGTGTATTTCTAAGGGATGTTCTCCTTTTTTTTTTTAATGTAAAAGTAAATACTAAATTGAGATGATAATTAACAAAGAGTGCTAAAGTCTTTATCGGTATTAGTTAATTGACATTAAATCTAATGTCACTATAGGTTTTAGGAACAGTTACAAAGAGTGTTGATTGTCTCGGAAAGTCATATTTAGCGGCAATGAATTAGTTATGAAAAACTTTCAAAAAGGGCAAACATTAGGCTTTAAATAGGACTCATTCTACAGTTTAACTAATTACAATTCACATCTACACTTTGGTTTACTACACATTTGTATTAGTTGTATTTTATTTTTTTGCAGATTTTGGAGAGAAAAAATACAAATACAAATTGATTTGTATCAAAATGAATACATATTAGGAGGTGAGAAGAGAGCGAGATCGAGAGAGGGAGGAGGAGAGCGAAATCGAGAGAGGGAGGAGAGATGATGAACACATGTTGTATAACGAATAAAATTGATACAGAATACGAATTTAGTTTTTCGAACACAATCGATATAAAATACAAATCTCTAGCCTATATTTGATTGAATACAATTAATACATAATACATTTGACAGAGATGATAATGCATATTGTATTCGTATGAATACAAATACAAATTGATTTGTATCAACATGAATACATATTAGGAGGTGAGAAGAGAGCAAGATCGAGAGAGGGAGGAGGCGAGCGAAATCGAGAGAGGGAGGACAGATGATGAATACATATTGTATAACGAATACAATTGATACAAAATACAAATTTAGTTTTTCGAATACAATCGATATAAAACACAAATCTCTCACCTATGTTTGATTGAATACAATTGATACATAATACATTTTACAGAAAGGATAATGCATATTGTATACGTATGAATACAAATACAATTCATACAAAAATACAAATAAAGTTTTTCGAATGTATAAATTACAAAATTCTCACTATATTTGATTGAATACAATTGATACATAATACATTTGAATGGATTTCTTCTTATTGACAGGAGAGAGAGGGCAAGAGAGAGGCAATGGAGAGAAGGAAAGAGTTTGCTATAAAACCAACATATAGTGGTTTATTGTAATTATTTTTAAATTATGGTTGTGTTCCATAAATATGTTGACATTTTTGCCTTGTTATGCAATTTTTCCTGTTAGTGTCGTTAAAGATCATATTTGGTGTAATGTTATAGTATTTATGTGCCATAATGTGAGTTTTATTTTAAAATTTTTGAAGCTTATGATCTTTAACCTGTCAGGACTTTAGGTGTAGCTAGAAAAAAAAATATCATTATACAAGTATAGTTTATAGGGCATGTACTTGTCATTCTTTTTTCAAAAGAGTACTACAAGGAAATAGGGTGACACAGAAGAAATATTATTCTTCATCTTGTCTGTAAATATATACTTAATTAATTTCAAATGAAGTTAAAGACAATGGTTCAAACATCATATTTGACATCGTCTTACTAATTTGAAAACAAATTAACGGAAGATATTAAAAGAAGGAAATTAAATGGCAGAGGAGGAAATAAAGGAATAAGGAGGCTCTCCTCTCATTGCGTGTCTACTTTTTCAACTTATATATCACAATCATAATAATCACATTACGAAACTTCTCGATCCCCAATTAATTCGATTCATTTCATACATCATACATTTTCTTTCTTTCTTTCTTTGAATCAATCCAAGGTATGTAAGATATCAATCATTTGAGTTAGTTTTCACTTCCACTACATTAAAGTTCTACTCCATATGATGTATTTGACGTATTATTACTTTCAATCTATTTTTAGTACAGTAGAAAGTATCAAAAGATGAGCGATGAAAGAAGTGTCCCTCGTTTGAATGAGAGGATCCTTTCATCTTTATCCAGACGATCCGTTGCTGCCCATCCTTGGCATGACCTCGAGATAGGTACGTACTGTACCTATCCACATTTCATTTTTCATTCTTCAGACAAGCTATTTGATCTCATTTGTTTCTCCAATAATCGATTTTGTAGGACCTGAAGCTCCTAACGTTTTCAATGTTGTGAGTACACTAATTAATTAAATTACCCTCTCTGCTTTATAACTGCATATGATATGATCCGGTGATATATATAGATACATACATTACATCAATCGTTAACAGGTAATTGAGATAACAAAAGGAAGCAAAGTTAAGTACGAGCTTGACAAGAAAACTGGTCTCATTAAGGTATACATCACGTATTGAATGCTAGGTCTTACAATATGATCAATGTATTATCTAACTCATCCTTTAACGTGTATATTTGACTTGCAGGTTGATCGAGTTCTATATTCATCAGTTGTTTACCCTCAGAATTATGGCTTCATTCCTCGAACGTTATGTGAAGATAATGACCCCATGGATGTATTAGTCCTAATGCAGGTTCGATTTTTTCTTCACAAAACAGGGCAAACAGGGGACATATATTATACAAATCCGATAGTACAAATTATATTGAACAAAAATATGTACTTTTGTCGAACAGGAACCTGTCCTTCCAGGTTGTTTTCTTCGAGCTAGAGCCATTGGATTGATGCCTATGATCGATCAGGTTCCTAATTATATGTATGCTTAGAACTAATGAGGATCGCATTTGAGACTAATAGAATTTTTCTTATATTCAGGGAGAAAAGGACGATAAAATCATAGCAGTGTGTGCTGATGATCCTGAATATCGCCATTACACTAACATAAACCAGCTTCCCCCTCATCGTTTAGCTGAAATTCGCCGATTCTTTGAAGAATGTATGTTGTTTTAATTAACTATTTATTTCTGCGAATGTGTATATATATTTTACAGGTGACAATTAATTTTGTTAGATAAGAAGAATGAGAACAAAGAGGTTGCTGTTGATGAGTTTCTGCCACCAAATACTGCTGCTGAGGCTATCCAGTACTCTATGTAAGAATGCAACAACTTGTCTATTAATTATGTGAATTCCTTTTCTCAGAAAGTCACTCAACTTTCTTTTATAACTTCAAAGTCACACAATTATGAATTTCTTCTCTCAGAAAGTCACTCGACTGTTGAGTGACTTTCTGAGAAACGAAACCATGTATTGTATGTTCAAAAGAGGTTTACATTTGTACTATTGTTGTGCAGGGACCTTTATGCTGAATACATATTACAGACGTTGAGGAAGTAAATTCAAGTTTCATATATATTTATATATATATGACTTCTTGATTATTTTTTTTACTTCTTTTCTAAGAAAAAGCTTGTATTCTTATATGTATCTCTAATTGTTTGAGTTAAAATACTCTTCAGTTAGTTACCCTTTTGAAATAAAAATAAGGGAATCTTACGTAGATATGTTAAATTAAGAAAATATTTATCATCTATAGCAGTAATATTTTATTTTTTTCATTGGACTCTTGTAAGACAGTTTTAATACATATTACAGAAAATAATTTATAATACAAGTTTTATTCATGGTTAATACATTTATCACATATACTTATAATATATTTTGTCAATTTCTTACTAAACAAATATATTAAAACACTAATAATACATTTATATTTCATGCATAATTTACTTTTAATACATAGCAAGTTTATCATAATATTGCTATAAATGAAAATAAATAAAAGTATCGTTGAAATAAATAATTATTTATTAAAAAGTATTTATCCAAATAATTCTCTTCTTGAAATAAATTGCAAAGTTCAACATTTGGTAGTTAAACAAGACAACAGTAGATCAACAATGGACCAACCGATCAGATGAGCCCAATAAGAAAAAGAATCCATTAGCTGGGCCCAATACAAGGCTCATGGGGGAAACAAGTAAGATTTAGAGACCCTGGACTAGCACAAATAACATAACATTATTTAGAACATAACGAAAATGGAAAAGATAGGACTTGTTTGCATTCAAAAGTTATCTAGTTGCTTCTGAACTATAAAAAATAAAAAAATAAAAAATAGCGACAATAAATATGCACATTAAGAAAAACTGTTAAAGAGAGTATTGTAATTTGAGAATAACACTGATCGAAGCTAAGAAGACTCCAGAATAAATATAGTTTTCTTGTTGATCAACTGTGAATCAATACAATGAATTGAATGAATTAAAGCTACTCTTCTACATTATATATATACATGTTGTAATCCGTTAAATGATAACGAACTAATCTAACAAACTTCCTAGAGTTAGTTATAACTAACTTAACACCTTTTAAGTCACAACTCCTTTCTCATTAGTAAGTATTTACCGATATTACTTAATTAACATTAGATCCAATGTTGCTATAATCTTTAAGAACATCTACAAAGAGTGTGAATTGCCTTTAAACATATATTTAGCAATAATTAAGTTATTGTGGTTAATTAATTATCGCTAAAAATCATTTTTTTATATAATATGAGCTAATTACAACAGCTAGGGATGACAATGGGGCGATGCGGGGAAGATTTAGTCCAACCCTCAAACTTCTCAACTCGCCCCTCATTTCAGTTTTTTCTATTTTTAACCCGCCCCACATAAACCCCTACGCCCCGCCCCACTTAAGTTATTATTTCTACATACCTAAAGTAACATTACATATCTATCAGCCTTCTCATCTTACTTATATATCATATGCATCTTTTTGTTTTCTTGTTCTACAAATATAAATATAAAGAAAAATAGAAAAGATATTGTAATAATTAGCTAGAATATAGTAATGAATTAATGAAAGAAAGAAAGAGTATGTT